CAGCACTTAACTCCTAAACGAATCCAAAGTGTTTCTTCAAGTTCATAACAAAAATGTTGACAGATTCTCAGTTTGCACAGATTGAAACTGAGATTTATCACAGCTTTTAAGTTCGTTATATCCCAAACTAGAGTTTGGGAACTTAATAAAAGGAACTAAACAGTCTGCTTAGTCTGCTTAGTGAATATTGCAGTTCCCTCTAGTCACTGGTGTATGAGAAACAAAGCAGAGAAATTCCGCATTACTTTTAATATTCACTTTAGAAGTTATGAAAACTTACAGAAAAAGAAACAAATAAGTATTTTCTCTGTAAATCTCTAGTTTTGGCTTTCAGAAGAAACACTTTTATCACTGCAACCAACCAAACATCAGTTAAGTTGAAAGCTGGATATTCCTGTTCAAATTGAGAAGGAGTGAGATATAGTCAATATTATTTAAAGTAGTAATAGAAGCGTGATTGAAAATGGAAGCGTAACCGTTATCACTGGCTTTCCGCTATGAGGAGTCTTTGAGTCTCACAGCAGATGATATTGCTGACTTTATTTATACCTTCTGCTCAAAAAGTACTCGGATTCTGTAAATAAAACACACAAATTAAAATTTTATTCTAAATTTATTTTATCCTCTTCAAAATATGAATATGCTCCTTCTGAAGCGATACATATATGCCAACACTTAACCCAATCTTTCATACAATTTTCGTAGAACCGTAAAGGTGTGACTTTAAGTTCCTTCAGCGAATTCTATTTTACCGATGCATTCGACTCAAAACGCTTACCACGAAGGGGCAATTTGAGTTTCGGAAACAGGAAAAAGTCGCACGGATCCAGATCTGGCGAATATGGTACCAAAGCAATGACAGTGGTGCCATGTTTGGTCAAAAATCGCGTACAACAAGAATTTTCCATAGTAAAAATGGCTAAATGCACTTGAAGTAGTCTCACATTAACAGCTGCTCAAATTTGTACCATATGTCAAGAAGCGGTGTACCAACTTAACAAAAAATTATGTTTTTTTGAAAAAGGTCTATTACTTAAGGAGTAGTTAACAAACAGCAAAATCCGGATACTTTTTGTGCAGAAGGTACATAATATATGATAAACAAAAAGAAATTAAACGTTAACAGAGTTGTCATATGTACAAATTCGTTTGCATATAGTACATAGGAGTAAAATTTATCAATTACCTTGATTTACATGGATTAACTTATGGAGTCTTTCTCTCTCTTGAGATGGCATATTAGATCTTATACTTCACGGTATTCCACTGATCTTTCTAACAATAAATATGACACGTCTTTTCTTTTGCAATAAAATACTTTAATTTTTGCGGTGCCTTTAATAACTTTGAAAAAAAAAAGGTGGCAATGCGTATACTTCATAACAATTGGTAACACCAGCAATAATTTAACAACTACTTCAGTGTCCCACAATAAAGCAGAAATGTTCCATGGTGTTCTTACTTCTGGTGCCAGTATCCTGGACTATTTGCGGTTAACCATTTGCGGTAGAGTCAATTTTATTGTTTAACGGTTCCATATGCATTGTTATGTGTGCCATTTTGTATTTATTGTCTTGCATTCAATTATTGTTGGTGTTGTTTTATTTCATTATTGATGTCATTATTATTGATCGGCCACACTGATTGTGAAATAAATTCTACCCTGCACTGTAGCTATTTTATGTTATTGGGTACGCGTTACATGCTTTTATTTGTGTGTTTACACAAAGGAAAAAGGTTCCAAGCTAAAGACAGAGGCTGAGAAAAAATATTGGCACATAAAAATCAAAATGAAAAATAAAATCAATTTGTATTGTGCATACTTACACCAACAAGTGCACAAGTAACTACATATGCTTTCGCCCCAATAACCTATGTGGTTAAGTATAGCAGTCCTTGCTTTCCACACGAGCATGCAACTTCACTAAAATTATATAAAATATTATGGAAGCAATGTTCTTTGCTTTTGTGCTACCAATATAATAGCATACTAAAGCAACACACACACACATACACACATATACGCGCACACAATATCATTTACACACAATACTTACAATGCCATACAAACACACACTCGCATAGGACGTGCATTAATATATTTCAAACATTTGTGCACAATGCTCACATCTCGTTGGATAAGTGTTGTCCATTTTGGTTAAATTACCAAGTGGGTCCGAGCATAAATACACATGTGCGGGTGCTCTGAATGTGTGGTCTTTGTATTGGTCTTCAATTGGTTTTGTGGTTTTTTAATCAAGTTGTTTTTTGGTTTTATATTTATGTTTTTGTTTTTGTTTTTATTTCTGTTTTTTGTTTTTATATACATTTTATATTTATTTTTATTTTATTTTTTTTATCTTTTTATTTTATTGTAAAGATTAGTGTTTTTTTTTTCTTGTAGGAGTACCAACACAGACGTACAAGCTGTTGATGACCAGTGCGTTCGGTGCAAGGGTAATACAAAATATTGTAAATGCGCTTATAAATAAAACAGACACACTTAATCAGCAAATTTCCCTTACCCTCGACACTGCTCCATTTATAACTGTTTTCTTTTATTTTTATGTGTGTGAGTGTGTGTGTGTGTCTGTGTGTGTGAATGCGGGAGTGTGGTAGAGCAAAATGGTAAAATTTGCTATTTTATCAAAATAAAATTGCTTCCGATTGATGCTCATAAGGGAAAAGCTTACCAATGGTTAAGTGATTGGTAGGGACGTTGACTGGAATTTCATGGTATAGGGTAACGTACTCCGGTCACAGAAGCGTAGCGGTTGCTTGACCGGAATCAAATATGAATACGATAATCGCATGAAAAATATTTTGTAAATTTGCGGAGATTTATCAAACTTTGTTTGCTTCTATTATTGGAAATAAATATTGGTTCGTCGTATTGGTCTGTCGTGTTAAGTGGAAACTAAAAATATTATTTATTAAATTTGAACAAATGAATATTTCACTGAAAATAATAAAATTGTTAATTTTTACACAAGCAATTATCTAATTACTTAGAACAGATAAAGAGATAAAACAGATTACATTATAAAAACGATAAAAATCCTAGACGTCAATCTAAGATTCACCCAACTTGCGTTCAGACCCACAAATCATTTTTTTAGTCAGATTAGACCATTTTGAATACAATATGGTATAAGTGAAAAGTTTGTAATGTGCATGTGCTTCATATTACTGGTAATAGGTTCGCCTTAGTTCATCAACACCATTTCAACATTGAAATGAACACCATTTCAGATCGAGACAAAGAGAAAGTAATATAATGTGTTATAAAATGAATACATAAAAAACTTGCGAAAAGACAATTGTAGTCACTATCTTATATATTATTAAAACTTTTAACAAGAAATATACTTATTTAATTAATTTAACTTTGAAAAAAAGAAAAATTGGTCAACTTCTTACTATTTATAATGAACTCCGCTATGGATTTTCCTTTTTTTTAAGATGAAAGTAAAGATGAAAGAAAGCGAAATTGGAAAACTCATTCCACTATTATACACAAATCTGAAAGTAAAAAATATCCGAAGCTATCCATGTAAAATTACTCATTAAATTCTAATTCCATTATATATTCCACATAATACTTTACCACATAAGTTTCAACATCGAATATCTTAAACATGCTCTAACTTATATGAAAAATATTATACAAAAAGGAAGTACGATATAGTTTTAATGAAAAAATAACGGTGTATTAAATATATAAAAACATTTCTCTTATTAAGTTAATATTAATACTCAATATTGTTTAAGCTTAGCTAAAGACATCGTTTTTAAGTAGAATTAGCCAATTTGAAAATTTGTCCCGTAAGGTGTTCAATACGTCCCAACAGATACTCAAAACGAGCAATCTTCTCATATGCGGCTTCCAAGTTTGTTTTGTTAACATTCAACTCATCAATCGTTTTCTCATAGATTGAATAAAGTATCATTTTCTGTGGTACCTGCATAATCGACTTACCAATCTTCTTCCCAACAGTAACCACTAAGATGTCACCGTTTTCACGTCGTGCTTTCTCTTCAAGAATTGCTTTTTGCTCATTCACTGGGTTGCTCTTATCCATTAACATAATTTCATACAGCAAAATATCAATACTACCAGGCTCAGCTTTTGCAATTTTTTCCATAAACAGTTTGCTCAACTTTATTTGAAGTTTTGTAAATACCTTGGAATTCATCGTCTCCCAATTAATTAGTTTCAATTTGAAGCTATTACGAGAGGGATAGTTATGAATATCAATCCATTTAGGTGTAATTTTTTTAAGTAGCTTGGCCATAAGTACTGCATCAGAGAAATCACGACTTAGTTTCCGTGTTACAATCTCATGTTTCTGTAACCAGTCAACCATTAGTTTTCGTTCTATCTCACTTAGATGCCTATGACGAAATTTCGTCTTCTTCAAATTAGTTTCGACATTAAGCTGATTCATAGTTTCGTATTTTTACTTTAAAAAATAGGGCTGTTATAATAGATTTTCCGTTTATATAATAAGACTACAATACATAAATAATCAGTTTACTTAAAATTTTTTGACCTTAAATTTAAAATTAATTCCAAAGCTTACTTTTTAAATTTATAGTGTATATTGATTTTGATGCTTAATTATTGTTTTTGAATCCAACAATTCTGAAGGTAAAGTAATTCAAAATTACAACATCTCAAAAGGATCCAGTATTGTAACATATCCTATAGAGAACATTTGTATGATGCTGTATTTCACACCTAATAACGACATTCAAACAATATATTAAAATTTGAGCTAAATCTTAATCACAAATGGATTTTATTTGTGTCTTCCCGGCAATCTTATAAGCTTATAAGAGATTAGGCGCTAAACCCTAAAAAAATATAAGAATGGAGACAAACGAGATTCAGATGTCCATTGTAGAACTTTTTAAGGGTGCAAAGTCTACGACGGTGGCGGAAAAACCTGAACACATGGCTCGATTAATACTACTGCCTACAGCTCCAGTGAGTTAGAGCTACCTGCTATATTTGCCACTGTTGTATTAACCCATCAACTCATAACATGCTATGGACATCTACTACCAGACGATTTTAGACACAAGTGGTTAATCGTCATGTTAGACAATCAGACAGACATAAAGCTTTAGACTCGATCTTCACAAACTCTACACTGATTTTAGAGATAGTAAATGTCATTCAAATATTGGCAGATAGAAATCAAGTGATGTTACACTGAATACGTATACTCAGTGGTTTTAATGGCAATAAAAGTCAATGCTAGCAGTCAGCATAAATAATTTTATAAGTTTAATCAATTCGGTCTAATAATGCTAACCACAGATGATTTATTTGAGAAAGTTATTGGTGTACAAAACACATCTTACTGAACTACTCAGAGAAGAAAACCTCGTTTTTTTTAACAGCTCATATTTAAAAAGCATGTTTGGAGTGACAACCGATTACTGCTTCTAAATAGGCATAACGTACAGGTAGGACTTTCGACAACCGACAAATGTAGACTACGTAAAGAAATTACAGAAACATCTTTACATATTCTTTACATATCTATGCTGATTCACTAATCAGAGTAGTTGAACATCAATTTAGAAAACATTTAGATTTTTTTTGAATACAGCTGAAGAAAAGGAAATCCTTTGTTAATTATAGATAGAGATATTTGGATATTTGATGCAGTGTCATGAACAGCTAATGTTCACATCCAACAAAATACAATACAACAGCCCACATGGTCTGTATTACGCAAGAAATGGAGTTTCGACCTATGTTTTTATCAAGAGTTGTGGCACTTACCAACAAAATCACAATACTTTTGAAATCGCTAAGTAAACATTTCCATGTTTATGTCCTTAAATAACTAGAACTAGATTGCTACACCGTTTCATATGTTTACTTTATTTAAGAGCAATCATACAGATTTCAAAAAAAAAAAGAAAATAAAACCAAAACACGTCTATCGTTCTTAAAAAAAAATAAAGTTGAAACAAAACAATAAAAAAACTAGTAGGTTCCAACAGATGTCCGAAGCAGTCCTATCTGAGGAGATGCATGCAGTTGCAACACTGGTACAACCCCTTTAGCCAATAATGATTTTTACCAATCATATTATTTTTAAACCAATGCCTTTGGTGGAAGCGGCCCTGCTTAGGTAAATCTCTATGATCATTAGAAAGATCACTCCTTCATTTGTGTTTATATAAATATATACATAAATATTTTTCTTCTATTAAATTCAAGTTTATTTATAATACAAAAAATTTAAATAATTACAATATTAATTTCTTTAATTGCAAATAAAAAAAATATAACTAATATGGAAAGTACACAATAAAAAAGAAAAGTACTAAAATAAGCTAATTAAAAAGAATTATATATATAATTACAATTTATTACATTACATCATTTCATTGTAAAAAATAAGATGAAAAGTATGACATTAATAGATAAATTTTATAAATAAATTTTTTTTTTCTTATATCAAAGAATAAAAGGCAAAACCGAAAATCATTGGTTTGGCATTATTTTTATAATAAAAAAAAATTCAAACAAAAAAATTATAAATTACATAAATTAAAAATTATTATTAGATATTTAAGAGAGAAAACAACAACAAAAAAAAATTTATTAAATTTCTATTTGAACTAAGACTTTTATTAAATTCAAATTTCACCAAATTTTAATAACTTTTACAGTTCTTGATGCTAATACTCCGTTTAAATCAGGGCATCTTACCTAAATTTTTTTCGTTTCGCTTTTCGTTTCGGTTCAAGAGAAAAAAATATATCGGTTCGGTTCTGGTTTTCGTTTCGGCAACAATATCGGTTTTTTTCGGTTTTCGGTTCGGTTTCGTGTCAATATTAAAAGCAAAGTTATTTCCGAAAATCCTACTATCATCTAAATAAGGGCCAGATAAGATCGCAGGCCCACACAAACCACTGAACAGGTTGGAGGGCCGCAGAAATAAATACATTACTTCATAGTTGGTTTGGAGAAAAACAAAAATACGTTTATAATGTTAAATTTAATTTTATTAATTTATGAATTTAAATTCATTTATTTAGTAGACAATAAAAATTAAATAATGTAGGTTTACTAGTACAGCATGAGAAAATTTGCATAATTATAGTAGATTATAACCATGTCCGCGGCCACACAAACATTAGCCGCGGTCCGCTTTTGGCCCGCAGGCCATACTTTAGACAGCCCTGGTCTAAGTGATCATTACATTCGCATTCAGCTTCAATAAGAAAACATTTTTCTATTTCCATTCCTAATGTTTTTACGAAAAAAATCACATTCGCTCCATTATCTGTAGTAATCGATTAGATTTGCTGGATTTCAATTTTAAGACTTTTTAATTCTAAGATTTTTTCGACCATGTTTTTGATATAAATTCTCATATGTTTATCTTTCAATTCCATGATTCCCAACGTAAATAAATTTATTTTACCGTCTAGTACCAACTGTGCATTGATTTCCAAAATTGATTTATTTAATCGATTAACTATGTCAACTTTAAAAGAAATCATTTTTTTATCTTAAACTGTACGTATTTTAGTTATAATTTTAGAAGCCGTCTCAGGTATTGACAATTTAACTGGCATTAACTGAAAAATTACTACCTATAGCAGTCACTATTGGGTCCATTATTCGTTTGCATCCTGAATACTCCAACATTTCAAAGGAACACCCATTAATGGCAATAAGTTTTAGTCAATTTAAAGTATTTTTCAAAAAAATAAATTAATAAAAAATCAACAACTGAACAGATGCCCAGATACCAAACTATATGGTGCTGAACCGAAATAAACCGACATTTTTTTTCGGTTCGGTTCCGGTGTTCGTTCTAGCAAAAATATCGGTTTTTTTTGGTTTTCGGTTTGGTTTCGGTGCGATGCCCTAGTTTGAATTACCGGGTATAATAACTGTTAACAATTCACTTTTTTTTTTTAATTATTGCGTTTAATTTAACATAGCGGATGTCCGTTTAGTAAACTCGTAAGTGATATATTCGAAAGAATACCTATTAATGAATCTCCTGATCTAGTGCCCTTCATTTAGTATTACCGCAATTTTAGAGGTCCTTTACGAAAAGTTTCCGGAAATTTTAAATAAAACGCAAAATTCTTAATCTTCATCAATATTTATTTTATCTCCTTCAAAATATGCTCCATTAGAAGCGATACACAAATGCCAACGTTTCTTCCAATCATCAAAACATTTTTTATAGGCGCTTTCCGGTATGGCTTTGAGTTTCCTCTGCGAATTCTGTTTTACGTCTTCTATGGATTCAAAACGCGTTCCTCTGAGTGGTAATTTGAGTTTGGGAAACAGGAAAAAGTCACACGGTGCAAGATCAGGTGAATACGGGGGCTGTTCGATGGTATTTATTGAATGTTTGGCCTTAAAATCGTTGATAATGTTGGCTCGGTGCGAGGGAGCATTATCGTCATGAAAAATCCATGAATTATCCTTCCACAATTGAGGCCGTTTACGGCGGATATTTTCACGCAAACGTCTTAAAACAGTCAAATAATAGGCTTTATTGACTGTTTGTCCTTCAGGGACGAATTCATGATGCACCACACCACGAATATCGAAGAAAACAATCAGCATTGCCTTGATTT